CGCGAAGTGCGGCAGTGCTGCACACATGGTGTCTAAAACGGTGGCTGATAGTTTGGCCGCTGCGCTGACGCAGCACAAGCAGGTCCTGCATTATGTGTCTTGGGCGGTCTTCCAGGTGGTTCAGTTTCGTAAGTGGGGAACGGATCCTATCGCGGAGCGGGACCCTGAGCTCGCCCAGGTGCCCAAGCGTGTGGTCTTCGAGAGGCCCCAGGACCATGAGTTGCTTTTCTGCCAGAGGTTGTCTGAGTATCGGTGTCGTCGGTGCAATCGTGTCGCTCGAAGTGCGGGTACCCTCCATACTCTTCGCTCAGGAGCTGATCGAGTGTGTGCTCCCACGCCTCTGGTCCTGAGCTTGGCCGATGACTTCTTCCTGCGGAGTTCTGAGGCGTGGCTTAGTATTTCGGACTCTAGGGTCACGGCTGCCCTCGAAGCTGCTGATAGGATTTTGGGGTCCACGCCTGGGCTTCGGGAGCCCTCCTCGGGTCTGGGCGCGGTCCCTCCTCAGCCGCTGGAGCAGGCGAATGCTGCCAGTGGCTCTGCCGACGCTCCTCAACCAGTGCTTGCCGAATTCGCTGAATTGGGGCATGACGTTTTCTGTGTGAATTCAGTTTATTGCTGCCGCAAGTGCGGGGGCAATTTCAACGGGTCCGAGTCCTTCAGGTCCGCCCGCAAACTGCGGGCGGTGTGCCAAGGGTTTTCAGAGAATCCTAAGACTCGGGCTAACCAGCACACGGCGATTGACAGAATCACCCGTGGCTTGGAGCCCCGCCAGAGAGGGGCAGGTGCGGCGCGTTCTGGCCCGAACCCTGCCCCCTAGCGTTGCTCTTTGGGCCCTGGGAGGTTTTAGGGTGTGGTTTTCCTGAGGCGCCCCACCCTCTCCCAGGCTTTCGCCTTTTCCGCCACCCCTGTGGCTCTCAGGTCTCACACGCGGTTGGTGTTCGTCACTCGGACGCCTCTCCAGCGGCTCCCTCGCTCCTCCTCCTCCTCCTCCTCCTCCTCCTCCTCCTCCTCCTCCTCCTCCTCCTGTCCCTCCTCCTCCTCCTCCTCCCCCCCCCCTTCCCCCTCCCCCTCCTCCTCCTCCTCTCCTCCTCCTCCTCATCCTCCTCTCCTCCTCCTCCTCCTCCTCCTCCTCCTCCTCCCTCCTCCTCCTCTCTCCTCCTCCTCCTCCTCCTCCCTCCTCCTCCTCCTCCTCCTCCTCCTCCTCCTCCTCCCCCTTCTCCTCCTCCTCCTCCTCCGAGGAATGTGAGCCCGCGGCCTCTGCCCTTCCGGGTGCTCAGCACCCAGTCGGCCACCTGCCTCCCGGGCCGCTGCAGGTCGAACACCCGCAGGCACTGCTGGGGCCGCGGGGCCACAGAGGCCCGGCGCAGCGACACGAGGATGAAGGGGCCCCAGGACACACAAATGAATACACACAAATAAGAATATCCCCAATATTTTCCCACAGTTTCTGGGTTTTTGTCTTCCCCCCCACTTCCCATAGTTTCCTATGTTTTCTGGGGGATCGACGATTAATTGTGTCTGTGTGGTTTTCCCCTCCTGAAGGGAGAGAGGGAGGAGGCGTACACTTCTTCCTTCCACGAGGAGGAGAGGGAGGGTAGGAGGAGGACGAGGGGGGTATGTGAGGAGGAGGGGGGAGGAAGAGCGACACGAGGAGAGGGGGAGGAGGCGTACACTTCTTCATTCCACGAGGAGGAGAGGGAGGGAGGAGGACGGACGAGGGGGGTACGTGAGGAGGAGGGAGGAAGGGAGGGACAGGCCACGCCGTGCCAGACAAGCCACAACTGGGGGAGCCTGTAGTCCTTTATGCCCTTGCCAAAAAAATCGTCGGCGCGACGTGCTCCCCCAGATGGGGGCAGGGAACACAGCTCCCCCACTTGCGTGACTGGCCGGTGGTCGATGGAGAGAACACGGGCATGAACACACATTCTCGGATGTCCGTGCGGAGCTCCCAGGTCGGAGGGCATTTTTGTGTCACTACAGCCGTGTAATGATTGCCTCAGCAGGCGTAGACGGTGACTGTGCCCGAGGCTGCTCGGCGGCCCCTCGTGCTTTGACGGGGGGCCCGCCAGCCCACGCTTGTAGTAAGAAAAAATAAGACGGAGCACCACCCTGGGGTGAGCGCCGATGGGAGCGGGGGAGGGGGGAGGGGGAGGAGGAGGATTGCCTCGGCTGGACCCCCTTCAAAGGGAGGAGGAGGAGGAGGAGGAGGAGGAGGAGGAGAGGAGGAGGGGGGGGGGGGGAGGGGGGACGAGGAGAAGACGGCGGATGGGGAGGAGGATGACGAGCGGGGAAGGAAGGATGAGGTACCAGTAGAAAGACGTTGAGGAGGCAGGAGACAGAGCGAGAGCGAGAGAGAGACAGATAAGTGAGCGAGGAGGGAGAAGGGAGAGAGGACGGAGGGGGCATGAGGAGAAGCTCCCTCCTCTTCCTCCAATTCCTCCAATTCCTCCTCCTCCTCCTCCTCCTCCTCCTCCTCCTTCTCCTGGTCATCCTCCTCCTCCACCTCCTCCTCCCTCTCCTCATCCTTCTCCTGCTCCTCCTCCTCCTCCTCCGCCTCCTCCTCCTGGGTATCACCATCAGAATCAGCATCAGCATCACCGCCACCAATGTCAACATCACCACCATCACCATCACCACCACAATCCTCATCATCCTCATCGTCAGCATCATCAGCATCATCGTCGTCATCAGCATCGTCAGCATCATCAGCATCCTCATCAGCATCACCAGCAGCAGCAGCAGCATCATCAACATCACCATCATCATCTTCAGGAGCATCATCATCGTCATCATCATCAGCAGCGCCATCATTGTCAGCAGCAGCATCAACATCAGCATCAGCATCCGCATCAGCATTAGCATCACCACCACCATCTGAATCATCATCAGCACCATCAGCATCAGCATCATCATTATCAACATTGGCATCACCAGCATCATCATTAGCAGCATCATCAGCATCGGCATGTTAATCGCCAACAGCAACCTTATCATCAGAACCATCATCATCATCATCAGCATCGACATTACCACGATCATCCGTATCGTCATCATCACCGCCACAATAAACATCATAATCAGCAGCATCAGCATCATAACCAGCATCAGCAGCATCATCAATGTCGCCATCAGCATCGTCCTCAGCAGCATCAACATCAGCAGCAGTATCAACACCATCATCATCATGCATAGCGTCCTCAGCATTACCATCGTCAACAGCATCAGCATCTTCATCATCACCATCATCATCGTCGTCATCGTCGCCATCGTCAGCGTCATCGTCAATATCATCATCACCATCCGCAACATCAATAGCATCAGCAGCAGCATCACCACCATCATCAGCAGCAGCATCATCATTATCACCGTTATCAACATCACCACAATCAGCATCACCATCACCATCACCACCACCATCAGCATCATCACCAGCAGTACCACCACTAGTACTCGCATCATCATCAGTAGCAGCATCATCATCAGCATCATCATCAGCATCATCTCCTCAGCCTCATCATCATAGTCATCGCCACCATCCGAATCATCAACATCAACATTACCACAACCATCAACCACATCGCGTCCACACCGCCCTCCTCCCTTACCCTCCTCCTCCTCCCCCTCCTCGTCCTCCTCCTCCTCCTGATGATCCTCCTTCTCCTCCTCCTCCCCACCTCCTCAAAGGGAGGCCCGCCTCCTCAGAGGCATGATGCTGAGGAGGAGGAGGAGGAGGAGGAGGAGGAGGAGGAGGAGGAGGAGGAGAGGGAAGAGGAGGAGCAGCAGCAGATGGTTGAGGAAGGGGGCGCTTCGCTGCGCCAGCTTCGCGGCCCCACGGCGTCTGGAACCCGGCCACGATCTTCGAGCAGTCCGCAGGCCCAGCGCCCGTGGGCGCTCCCTAGTCGACCCCGAGAGCCCCGTCCTCCTGCGGGCCGCGGCGGGGGGCCACATTCGAACCCTACAAGCGGGGCGTTGACCTAAGGAACCCAAAATAAGGAACGAGGCCCCTGTTTTCCATAAGTTAAACTTCGATTTCCGATCGAAAACATAAGGAAAACCTGAGGCAAGCTGCGAAACACTCAAGGAACGCGGAGCCCCTCCCCAACAAAAAGGGTTCCTTCTTCAGGGCCCCGACTGTACCCCCCACGAGTTCTGAGGGGGAAGGTGGGGATCACTCTGCTCGGGAGCTCCCGAACGGAGCGAACCCCACCCTCCCCCTCAGAAATCGTGGGGGGTAGGGGTAGGGTTCGAATATGGCCCCCTATGCGGGCAACAATGCCAGGGGGGCGTCGGCCAAAAAACACCCCGCACGTCCCGACCGGGCACATCCGGAGCCCGAGGCTCGGCATCTGCGCCCGCTTGCCCTGGCCAAGGAGGCTGGAAGAACTTGCCGGCCTCGAACTTATCCCTATCCCTGAGATTGACACGCCAAAAGGCGATGACAATCTTAGGGATGCGCCCTCAAAAAATAAGGGAATCCCTAAGATTGGCATCATGATGAGGAGATGCCCAGCATAGGGATAGAGATATGTTCCAGGCTGGTAAAGAACAGGGAGAAGCTGCATGCACACAAGCTGTCGGAGGCGCGAGCGGAGTGGGTCGGCGCTGGATCCAGCGCCGACCCATTTAATCCGCGCGGACCTCCAATAGTTGATGAGTACGTGGATTTCTCTCCACGAGACATTTGCAACAAGCATGGGATCAGGATGGACCTGGCGAAGATTGGAGACGTGGTCCGTTGAAGTCCCCCGTCCGTGGGTGCCCCCACACCCCTGGCAGAGCTCGGAAGACTGAGCCATTCGAAGGTATCGACTGACTCATTTTCCTCACTACCTCCCCCTTCTGCCCCTCCTCCTTATGCCCTGGCGGCAGCAAGGATGCTGACGACCCATAGAAGACCCCCAACAGGATTTCGAAACGCAGAAAAGCATTGAATTTCATTAGTTGTTGTGTGAATTTGGGACTGCTCTGTTCTTCGGTCTTCCGGGCGTCCGAGACCGCCCAGGGGGCCCGAAAATCGCCCCAAAACTATCCGAAAGGGCTTCCAGGCAGTCCAGGAGAGCCCCAAAACGCCACAATAGGGTTCCAAGATGGAACGAAGAGAGCCGCATGACGGCCCAAGATGGCCCCGAGACGCCCACCGAAGCATTCCAAAGCATGACCCCGCCGTTCAGGGAGACCGCGGTTGGAACCAGCATGGCCCGAGGAATCCCCCAGAGGCCCCCAGAAGGCGCCCAGAAGGCCTCCAGCGGGCTCCAAGAAGCCTTAAAACTTTCCTGAGGACCCCAAAAGGCTCTCCAAGGATGAGCCTCCACAAAGACAGCTGAGGAGGATGGGGAAGAATTCGCATGGAAAGGCGATAAAGGGGGAAGAGGGGGAAGGTTCTTGAATCACATTGTTATAACGGCGATGCTGGAAAAGGCAAAGGCAACAATGTGTTATCGCTGAAGTGCCTGCTTTGCCTTCTGGCCCTCCAGCCTGCATGCCAAACTTCAGGGATCAGGGTGCTTGGCGCGAAGCGCCAATGCAGTCTTGTATATATTCAGACATACACACATGTGTGCATACAGTCGGCCCCGGTTAGTAGGTCGACCCAGCCACAGCAACGGCACCCTTCTGTCCTGCGTCTCGCGACCCATGCCTCCTACGTTCCTATGGCAATGTGGCCCTCGGGAGGGTCTCTTGTCCTCTCGCGTGTCCTGTCCACTCAAGTCCGACTGTATCTCTTTCTCTCGAATGTGTGTGTGTGTGTCTATATACATACATGGCTACACGGTGCGGACCTCACCCTTTCTGTCTCCTGACACTCCGGGGGAGCCTCGTCCGTCGAAGCCCGAAGAGGCGGGCCTCGAGAGGCTCGAGCCTCGACCCTCGGGCGGCCCGCGGGCGAGCAGCCACCGAGGATCGAGGAGGAGGAGGAGGAGGAGGAGGAGGAGGGGAGGAGGAGCTAGAAGTGAGGGGAGGAGGAGGGGGACGGAGGAGGATAATCGTGCAAACTCAAGACGCATCAACGATGCTGCCAGAAGCCCTCCCTCCCGGTTCCCTCTCGGTACTCAGGCTCCTCCCTCTCCATCGGATCGAGAAGAAGGAAGAGGAGTGAGGGGAGGGGGAGGGGAAGGAGGTGGAGGACCAGAGTAAGCCTCAGACGCACCAACGATGTTGCCATAAACCCTCCCGCCACGCTCCCTCTCCGTGGGCCCTTGCAAGAATGTTGTGCTCATTGCGGGAAATGCCCCGTTGAAAGACAGCCGTCTGCTAATCCTTATGAATCGTGCCAGGGCGCCATTCCTGCGACATCAACGCCGCGAATCAACGTGACTGTTGCGTTCTGACAGTCCAAAGCCGCGCAAAGACACCATTCCTGGAATTTGAACACCGCAAATCAGAGTGACTGCTGAGTCCTGACAATCCGAAATCGCGCAAGAACGCCATGCCTGGGACATCAATCCTACGATCCAATTCAGCTGTTGCACCTAAACAGATGCGCGCGGCGCTGAGGCGAGAGCCACAGTTCGAAAAGGACCCGCCCAGCTTTTCAAAACGAATGCGCGCGGCGCTGAATCGAGAGCCACAGTTCGGAAAGGACACACAATCCATCCTGGAAGCGGGTGCAAACTTATAGAACGAATGTGCGCGGCGCTAGGGCGACGGCCACATTTTGATGAAAAGGACCCGCCCTCCATCCTTGATAATGGTTTCAACTTTCAACACGGATGTGCGCAGCGCTAAGACGGGAGCAACATTTCGAAATGGACCCGCCCTCCACCCCGAAACATGGATTGCACCTGCACCATATTGATTGCACCGCCTAGATTGCATTCTCAGGCGAAACGCTCCAGCCCACACTACCGACACGCCTGGGGGTGCGACAAGGGGGAGGAGGAGGAGGAAGAGGAGGAGGAGGAGGAGGAGGAGGAGGAAGCGAATGAGAGATGGAGGAGAAGGAGGAGGCGGAGGCGAAGGCGGAGGAGGGAGAGAGGAGAAGGAGGTGGAGGAGGAGGAGGAGGAGGAGGAGCGGAGGAGGAGGAGGAGACAAGAAGAATAACAATAAGACTAGCAAGAACAGGAGGAGGAGGCGGAGGAAGCGGAGGAGAGTGATGGGGGAGGGAGAGGAAGAGGAGGACGCAAGCAGGAGGAGGCCCCCGACCTCCGCGCTCCCCCGGGCGGCCCGAGGGCGGCAGCCCGCCCGCATCGGCCGAGAAACACAGGCTGCTCGCGTGACACACCTGGGCGCGGCGGCGCCGAGAGGGGCCGCCGGGCCGGAGGTCGGGCCGCGGGGCCGCGGAGGGCGGGCCGGAGGGGAAGCGACTGAAACCGGGAGGTTATCCAAGACTGAATTCTGGAGTTAAGTCGGCCCGAGTCCGGGGCAAAGGCCACCCCGCGGAAAAACTTAACTCCGGAGTTAAGTCGCCGCCAAGGTGGCGAACGCACCAGCTATTACACGAATTAACTCTGGAGTTAAGTGATTCCCACGCCGCGCGCCCCAGCCAGGCACAGACTTAACTGCGGAGTTAAATCGCCGCGGCATTTGGTTGGATGCCGCGACGATTGAGAGGACAGGAAGTGGAAGAGGACGAGGAGGGCGACGACGAGGAATATGAGGAGGAGGAGTGAGGAGGACGAGGAGGAGGAGGAGGAGGAGGAGGAGGACAAGCTAGGTGCCTTCGCGTCATATCTGACATCCTACCCCTCCCTCCCATCCCTAACCATGGCGTAGATCCCCTCTCTGTTCGCACAGTCGGATGTCGAGCAGGGCAATGATCCCGAAAGGGTACGCGATGCATTGTATAGCACGGCGTGGCATGGCGTAGAAGAGCACCGCAAAACGTAGTGTGTCACAGCATGGCGTGGCGTGGCGCGGTGAAGAATTGCATCACAAAGCGTCGCAACGCAAAACATGGTATCGCACAGCGGCCCCGAGCATAACATTGCATAGCATGGCGTTGAATATCTAAGCGTAGCCTGGCATAGCACGATGCGGCACTTAAGCACTGCGTATCACAGCTTCAGCTGAAGGCATGGCATCGCGCAGCGGAACGCAACCTAGAATTGCATTGCACGCCGTGGCATGGCACGGGAAATGACGCCAGCGCTGCAGCGGGAGCACGATTCGGAACGAGCGGAAGCGCGGAAATGAGGCCAACGCTGCAGCGGGAGCACGATTCGGAACGAGCGGAAGCACGGAAATGAGGCCAGCGCTGCAGCGGGAACACGATTCGGAACGAGCGAGGCCCGAAAATGAAGCCGGCGCCTCAGCGAACGCAGCACTTTGAAAACATATGCAGGCGAAAACCCAACTCCGGGGAATCCTGCGTGTAAAAAACAGCACGCAGGGGGGGCGGGGGCGAACTTTCCCAACCCGTCATCAGGGGAAGGAGGAGAGCAGCGTTCATATTGAATAATTGTGGAGGAGGAGGAGGAGGAGGAGGAGGAGGAGGCGACACATCAGGGCACGGGGGGCCGAACGCCGCAGGAGCGCGACTGCGACTGCTACCTCTGTCCGCCACGCGCCCGGGTCGGGGCCGAGCTCCACCTCGCCCCCGCCCCCCCTTCCTCACGCGGGCGCGACGCGCAGGCTGCTTCCCGCCAATCGCAAAGCAAAACTACGGAATGAGCGAGGTGCACCGACAACGACGAAGCATACGAAGAGTCTGGGAAAATAATCAAGATCAGACACGCTTCGATGCTCGCCGACCTCCGCCTCCCCCTGCCCCCCCCTGGCCCGACTACGAGGGCCCTGGGCGCTGGGTCCGCTCTCACTTCCGGCGCCTCTTCGGGCGTGGCTCGTCGCCTGGCCTGGCGTCGGGCCCGCCGGCGCCGCCGCCGTCGCCCGGGGGGGCTCCGGGGGGCGGCGCCGCCGTCGCCCGGGGGAGCGCCCGCCGACTCCGCGCCGTCGAAATGCAGCTGGTCGAAGCTGCAAATGCGGACGGCGGGCCGCCACCTCGGCGCGACCAGCGGGCGCGGAGCGGGCGACGGCCGGGGCCGGCTGCGACCCCCCCCGGCAATATGTGCTGGAAGCTCTAAAACTTGTCTGCGTGCTAAACCTTCCAAAACAAATCGCCGAGGGCCCCAGTGTCTTGAGGTGCGTCGGCCAAGCGACTGAATTTGGCCATAGTATGCGAGGCGACCAATGGTGGGCGGCGCGCGGCGCGAGGGCCCGCGGCCGCCGCAGCGACGCGCTCGGCACGCGCGAATCCACGGCAAACTAAGCCAGCCGCAACGACCTGTCGATGCACGCGGGCGGCTCGATGTCGCGGCAGTAGTACGCGCCCACGTCGCCCTCGACGTCAGAGATAATGACCTCGGGCGCAAGCGGGGCGGGCGGGGGGGTCTCGCACGCCCCCGCCCCCAGGCGCGCCCGACGCCGCGCGCGCGCGAATCGCAGAGCCCGCGAGAACCCTGCCGGCGGCGCCCGCCCGCGGCGGGCCGATCGGCGCCCGCTGGCCGCCAAGCGCTGAGACGGCGACGATCGGCCTCATCAAGACCGCGGCGCACGCAGTGGCCACCAAATGGTCCGCCCAGGAACCGGGCCCCCGCACGTGCGCGACGCACGCGTCCACGTTGGGGAACTGAGCTCTGTTGAGCGCGTTCTCAAACGCGCCGGGGAGGCCCGCGATCCAGTTCGTGGCTGGGGGCGACGCTTTACAAGCGCAGGGGCCCGCGCGGGGGCGATGAAACTCAAACCCCGCCCGCGGGCCCCCCCCCGACCGCTCGGGCCCAGCTGGCGGATAGATAGCGGGGGCGGGGGGGGGTCCGCCAAGCGGAGGGCAGTCCTTCAGCTCGCAAGCCCTCGGCGGTCAGGCCGACCTCCTCGCCGCCCCTCCTGAGCGCCTCGATCAACGCGTGGACGAGACGCGCCCCGTCGCCCGGCACTCCGACCGCCTGCGATGTCAATTCTGGGACAGCGGCGGTAATCGCTGGGGCGCAATCTACGCGGCGCAATCACAGAGGTGCAATCTATGCGGCGCACTGCAATCTAAGCGGTGCAATGCAATCCCCGCGGTGCAACCTAGGCGGCGCGAGCTATGCGTCTCGGCGACGGGCGGCCACAAGCGGCGACGGAGAAGAAAGGGCACCTGACTGCGCGCGTGGATTGCACCCGCTGAAAGGAAATAGGAACGCAAGCACTGTTCGGAGAATCGGGCAGCCCGCGAACGGGCGCCCAGTCAGATGAAAATGCGCAGACCTACATCAGGGCGCATCGGCGCGACGAGGCCTGGAGGCCCCACTTCGCCAAGCGCTGTCCGATGAGTTGCACGCTGGCCGCGTGGCGACGACCTTGCTCCCCCTGCTCGCTCAGGGAGAGCGCCTTGGCCATGTTCAACTGCAGGGCCTCCCAGTCAGAGTTGCACATGGAGCTGATGCCCGCCAATATTGCCTCGAGGACCTTGGAGCTCTTCGCCATCTGCGCGCGCTGCGGGCAGAAATTGCACGACGCCTGCCGCTTCCTCCTGCAGCGGGCCTGCGCCGCCTTCCAGCAGCACCTGCGAGGCGGGGTGGGTGGGGGGTCTGGGCGCCCCGAAGAGCAAGGGGGATGGGGCGCCCGTCGCCCTCGCACTGCAAGTTGGACGAGAGCAGCGGGGCGGCGCCTGGTGACGCCGCGGAGCCGGGTAGCTTGCACGGCGGCGCCGCCGGGGCCGCTGGCCTGCTCGCGGCGGGCGGCCCCAGTAGCGCCTGCGGCGCGGCCAAACCGCCCCCCCAGAGGCCGATGGGGAAGTTGGCCGCGCGGCCTGAAACACCGCCTTCATCTTCTCAGAGTATTTGGGCGCATTCGAATGCTTCGGCGGCTGGGGGAAGAGGAAGACCCCGTAGCTGCGCGCGGCAAACTGGCCGGGAGCGGGGCCGCGCAGGACCCCTCTAACATTTTCTCGACGAACAAGGAGTGCTCACTGACCCCCCCGTGCTTCATGCAGTGCCCGCGCGAATCGATGGCCTCCCCAGTGTCCGTCGCGTAGACGATGGCGAAGAACGTCCTCAAGTACCGATGACGGTTCACGGAGCACCCGTTCTGGCCAAGGCCCCTGCAAGGCGCGAGCGGGGCCCCGCGGCGCGCCGGCCCCCTGGGGTCGAAGGGGCCGACGCCACCCGCCACCGCGCCCCCCCCCCCCCACGCCCGCCACCCGCCGTCGCGGCGACGGCCGCGACCCTGGCGTGACAGGGGCCTGGGCTGGCCCCGTTCAAACGCCGCGTCCTGCCCCTCGCCGCCTCCCTGACATCGGAAAAAGACGTCGCCGTGCCAAGCTGCAGCGCCGCCGGCACGTCCGCCTTGCGCTCCTTCGCCCAGCTCCGGTGGAACCTCAGCAAGACGTGCACGGAGGTGGTCTGGGCTGCGACGCCGTCGACGTTTAAGACGACGTCGCACGCGCTGGAGAGGTGCGCGCCGTCGCGGCCCTCCCGCTGGAAGTGGGGCATCATGTCGCGGCGGTTCAGCCTCGCGGGGCGGGTCGTCGCGCCCCCCCCCCCCTCGCTGACATATTGTTCATGTCTGCTCGCCACCCGGCGGCGGCCCTCGCCAGTCAGCGAAGGGGGGGGGATCTTGATCTCGCGGTGCAGGGACTTCCAGAAGCCAGCGTCCTTCCTCGACGTCATCACGGCGCCGATTCCGTCGATCAGCTCTGGGAGTGACTTCGGGGCCCCCGCGCAGCAAACGCCTTTGAGAGTCCGCCAAGATCTAGACGTCGCGTACGTCGCAAGGCCAGGGGGGGCCTGCCCGAGCCCGCAGCGCCGGGGCGCGGCGATCGTTCCGTCTGGACGCACTGTAAAGATGTTCGTCAGGAGGTAGTCCGCCATTGCGGACTCGCCCCATTGAAACGACTCTTCCCCGTCCTCCCTCAACCGATCGAAGATCTCCGTCCACGGCACGTTGAACTCCAAGTCGCTCTCACCCTCGCCCCCGGCGCCGCTGTCGGGGAGGCCGGAGGAGAATTCCATGAAGTTCTTGATGGGATGTACAAGGGCCGTGTTCTTCATCCGCTTCACGCCGCCCCCCTTGTCCAACATCTTCTTGCCCTCGTCAGCGACGTTCCCCTTCGCGCGCTGCAGGCACCCGCGCAGTCGGATGCCACGAGCTTTGCACAGGGGGGCGGCCGCGCCCATGCACCGGCAGTCCATGGCGGCGCGCGTCGTGCTGATGCCAAGGCGGTCAGCGATCTCGAAGTAAGCCTGCAAGAGAAGCTCGGGAGCCTCGCTGTCCTCGGTCTCCGAGGCCATGAACACCACCGGCAGGAAGCGCATAGTCGGGAGGCCAGTTGCTTCGTCCACGTGGAGGCCCACGGGGCCAACGGCACCCGCGAGCATCCCGTGGTAGTTCGTCTTCCACGTCCAATCCATCAAGAGCCACTCCAACCTGTGCTCGGCAAGCAACGCCTCGGAGACTCCGTGGGCGAAGGGGATGCGCAAGTTCTTTGTCGGTCACAACTGGCGTCTGCTGACCTGTCTTTGCGTCGACCATGTCCAACAGGAAGATCGGGCTGTGATCCTTCTTCAACCAGCCCTTCATCTCC